TCGAGTGGCTCCAGCTCGTCTTGTCTCAGTGCTGTGACTTGTTTCCAGTAATGCTCTTACAGTGGTCGTGTGAGCTGGGAGTAGTATTCTCCGGTACTCGGCCTGCATGTGCTCAGGGTCACCTTCCCTGAGTGCCCTGTAAGTACCGCCCTTGGGGCTTGGGGTTGCCTTCCACAAGTCTCTTTGGGTCTACCTCTGTTGGCCTTTCGCTGCTTGGCGTTTGGCCGCCCCGAGTGTTTGGGGGTTTTTCTCCCTTGTTTACCTTGGGGTTAGTGGTAGTTATAGCACTGGTGAGGCACAGGGTACTGTGTAGCTAGATTTCACCTATAACAGCGGCCGGCTCTGTTCCCACTGGGTACGTTATCCACTTGCGTGGTTTTTCTTTTAATTTTGTTTTTGCCTGGTGGGGAGGTCTGACTTGTGTTTTCCTCCCTCTTAAATTAGGGTGGTTTGTATGGTGGCACCCCCTGCTTAGCCCTCGTGAGTGGCACCCCCTGCTTAGCCCTCGTGAGTGGATACATCTTGTGGGTTCAGCTTTTAGCAGTTTACTTGGTAGTTTGGGGTGCCGGTTAGCAGTGCCCTGCCTGGGATAACCCTTAGCAGACTCAGTCTAGGGGCCCTTGAGAACCCAGCGGGGGCTCTCGAGTCCGATGAGACCCTCACCCCTCACTTTGTGCGAGTTAGAGGGTTGCTCTATCCCCTTGTCTCAGGGTGACTCTCATTGTTTTTGCCTCTGTCATGCTGCCTGTTGGGTCGGTGACACATTCGACCCCATGTCCTGCGAGCTGTGTTGCTTGTTCATGACTCAATTCACCTAGTCTGCTGATGATTTACTTCGGGTGCAGGCAGCTTGCGCAGTGCAGGGTAGGTTTAGGTTGTTGCAAATGAGCTCGGGTTGTCGCTTCCCCAGACGCCCCAAGGCTGCCCCACTTTGTGTATAGGGACCTGGACTTGGGGGTGTTGGTCGCTTTGGCCTTGGTTCCGTCCGCACCCCCCTTGTTCTTCCCCTTTGGTGGTTCATTCTGTCCCCTCCCCCCTTCTTCCGGCCCCTAAGCGTCTGAGTGCTTCGGGGTTTGAGCGGGGTTTAGAGGTTTCTGAGGCTCGGGCAGTTTCAGGGGTTGCCCCGTCTGGGGTAGCTGAAAAGGCATTCGAGTCTGTTCCTCCAGCTGATGCTCCGGGGTCTGACCAGCGGGCCCCTTCTCTTCCGGTTCTTTTGGCTGCCTCGGCATTTTCTTATGAGGCCGTGGCTTTGGAGGACGACTCGGCCCCGGGGCCTGGTGTAGAGGCTCCCAGGGTTGGGGAGAAGCTGACTTGGGGGGGCCTTGGGCTCCATTGGACCCCACCTGGATTTTCCATCCTTCAGAGCGGGGCTTACTGTTGCAAGGAGTGGGGTTTTCTTTCCCCCCCCCCCAACTGCATACGATTTGGACTTGGGTTCTGCTCCTCCCCGGGTTCGGTTCCGTGTCCCTGTGGATTCTTCAGTTCCGTCTTTCCGGAGGTTTTCGGCTACCCGCATCTCGCCGCCTGAGGTGCGGTCGGCCATTGCAGCTTACCTCCTGCGTGACCCAAAGTACGCCTCTCATAATGGATCCTTCTTCGTTCAGGTTTGGATCGTCGTGTCCTTACTGGGTGCGCTATGAGATTCCGGGGTCGTCCTGGTTTGCAGACTGCCCCTTGTTTTCGTTGGATGCTTGGGACTCATTCTGTCGGACCCGCATGTTTGAGTGGCGTGAGGCATTGACGGTGGACCAGGTTTACCTGGGGGCGATTTTGAGCATCTTAATGAGTGTCTTTTCTCTCCTGCCCTTCTGCGGGATGTTGGTGCGGTGCAGCTCCATGTGCAGGTTTCTTCCCTGTCGGCTGCACTTGTGGCAGAGGATTTGCGCGCTCATGACTTTTTGGCTTCAGTTCTGCGTTTCTTTTCCCTCCTGGATCTATCTTCGGATTGGCTTGCGGAGGATGTAGAGGCGCTTGAGGCCGTTCCTGAGTCTGGCGCCTTGGTCTCGGCTGCTCGGGCGTCGTCTGCCATGTGAAGCTCTTTGTGCCGATCCTGCGGGAAGCGTTGCTGCATGTTTTCGTTGCGTGTTTTGTGTGTCGACAGGTGGTCCTTGCTTCCTCCTTGGAATCCGCTTGGGCCCTGGTTCTTAGGTTGTCTTCTCCCTTTTGTCCTCTGCTTTTTGAGGCTTCTGCAGTTGAGTGTTATATTCAGGGAGCTTCTTCCTCTTGCCGCCCTATGTCTGAGTTGTTGGTGTTCCGTGGGAACCGGGGGGTTCCTGCCCAGCGGGGTCGTACCAGGGCTCGCGGAAACCACGGGGTTTCTCTTAGGTCTTTGACCTTTGGGGTTGGTCAGTTCGAGTGGCTCATTTGCTGGATTCTCGGGGTTTGGCTAGCCGTGCAGTTCATGTCCAGGGTGTGTCCTGCATGCTGGCAGACAGCCTGTCTCGGTTCATTCCTCTGTTCGCAGATTGGCTGGTCGTTGCCGACTCATTTCGTTGGCTCTGCCAGATGTATGGACTCCTGGCCATGGACATCTTCGTGTCAGTGTGGTCTCGGCGTCTCCCATTCTATATGGTGCCCTTACCCGCCTGCGAGGCGTTCACGGTGGATGCCTTTCAGCAGGACTGGTCGAGGTGGGGGGTACCTGTTCCTCTTCTGGTCCAGCTGTTGCTTCGGGTTCTGGCTCGGTTGGAGTCTAGGAGAGTAGTCCTCGTGGTCCCTTGGTAGGACCACTGCTTGATAGGTGTCCAAACTCGGGGCATTTTCCCACGGCTCCGCCTCTTTCGGCAGGTCAGACCGGTTCTGTTCGTGACTGGTTCGACCTTCTCCTCAGCTCTTTGCGTCTGGTATTTTGACGCAGGTATCACCATCTCTATGGTGATCAGGTGGCATTGTTGACGGTGTCCCACCTGCAAGCTTCGTCTCGGCGACAGTATGACGTTCCTGGTGTTTCAATTCGCCATTTTCATGCTCTTCATGGGCTGTCTTCTCTTTCACATCAGGTTGTCTTGTCCTTTCTTGGGTTTTCAGGACTGCTTTTTTGATGCTTCTTACTGTCGCCTCGTGTCGTGCGGCGCTGGCGGAGCCGCTTCGGCTTGCGTTTGGGGTCGACGTCACATCCACCCCGTTCTGTACGCTTTCTCGTGTTTTGTTTCACCTCTGGCCTACTCATGCATCACCTGAGCCGTCCTGGTCCTTGATCAGGGTGTCCTCTTATCTTTCTTCTCCTCAGTTTGTGGTAGCCCCTTCGGTTCAAGATTGTTTTTCATAGGCCATATTTTATTGGCATGGGCCTCTGCGGGTCAGGTCGGGAGGTTCCGGCTCTCTTCCGGTGCAGGCGTTTCTGCTCTTTTGGTATTGGTGATAGGTTTGTACGTTCGCAGTCTTTCTCCGTCCTTCTGGCGACGGTCGAGATGGCTGCTTTCCGGAGGGGTCCTTGGGTTATTGATGCTTGGTTGGTCGGCTGGGGGTGGGTCATGTGTTGACCGGTTGCGGCTCTTTGCTGTTACCTGCGTACCATGACTGGGGATGCGCTTTGGGTTGATCCGGTTCCCCTCGTTCCCAGTTTCAGGGCTCGGGTCTCCCAGGTTATCCGCAGAGTTTTTAAATCTACCAGCATGCAGTCTGTCCTTGTGCCCGTGCCGTTCGGACATTTGCAGCTTTCGCTGCCGTGCTGGTGACGTCTAGGCCACATTTCGGGCACGAGGATTTTAAGGTCGCACAAGTTCCTGACCGCCCGTTCTTTGTGCGTGTGTCTGCTACTGTGCGTTCTTGTGTTGCAGGTTGCAGCCTGTTGTCTCGGCTTCGCGTTGCGGAGTTTGTGGCGGCCGCCTCCTGGGTCAGCCCTTTCTTTTCCTTTTCTTTGGGTATGAAGCTCCAGGAAGCCGTAGGGCTCCCCACAGAAAACCTGCATTGAATGTAATGGAACGCCATTTTCTGGGCGAGCCACGGAGGCTCCCTGGCAACCCTCCCTCCCACCGGTCGGCGGTTTTTTCGCGTTAGTTGAAGCTTAGCTTCCGAACTGATGCTAGGCAGCTGGCGCGGTGAGGTCCGGAGCCCCCCCTCCCCCTCTCGGGGTGGGGAGGGCTGCGCGGACGATCGGCGCAGCAGTAAAGTGTGATGTTTGCTTGTTTGCTTGTTTCCTTGGGATTGTAGGGAGTTTCTATCTCTCTGTTCAGTATTCTGTTTTAGCTTTTACTATGTGGGGTTTGTTTTGTTATGCCTACCTTTCTGAGTGCCTAATCCCGGTCGATGGCAAATAAGGAAAACCCCAACCACAAGGGGGTTTTCCAGGGCCATTGCTCCCTGAATCCTCTCTGAAGGGGCCAGGTTCTGGCACTGGTCCTTGGTAGGTCTGAACTCCTTAGCTAATGTCCCGGTCTAATATAACATACATTAGTCCGATAAGCTCCAGGGAGCCTCTGGGGCTCACCCAGAAAATGGAGTTTCATTACATTCAACACTGGTATTTTTTAATTCACGGTTAACAAGTGCAAAACTTGATCGTATCCACAGTTTAAGAATAATTCTCTTTGATCTCCTTTCATAAATCCTTATAATAAATAAATTTGAATTTTAAGTTGCAAAATAGAGTATATGTTTCATGTGTACTGTATCTACATTCATTAAGTCTGTTGACATCTTTAATACTGTAATGATATTCTAATTTGGTGAATCACCTACACATACTTTGGCTGAAGATGTCTATTTGTGGACTACTGGTGAGAGGGACTCGACAACCAGAGTCACACAACTGTCAATTAAAGAGTTATGCCTCGACAGAAAACACCACATCCTGCTGCTTGCTCACTTTGATATTTTGTACTTAAAACATCAGGTAAAGAATGATGAACGTGGCTAGGGAGTTATACCAGAGACGTCCAATATGGGAAAAACAACAATTTAACAGGAATGAGAACATGATAGATTAAACAGTGTGAAGCAAGACTTTTGGTGAGTTTTTGGACCATAATGGAATATAATATATCTTTATACATTTTCAGTCTGCTGCCAAGTGGATTCTTGACTCGGATGGATCACCATCGCTCCCAGCACAACACTCTCAGCAGCTTGGCTGTATTGCTGCTCATCAGTCAGGTGTTAATGGACTGTGCTTCAATTACCATAACAGTATGAGAATAGCAGATGCTGTGCACACCATCACTATGGCAACAGGGGGCGATGACAACAAACTTAGTGTTTGGGAAGTGTTGGTCGATGTTTCGAGAGCAGAGAAGATCAAGATTTCCATAAGGAATATTTGCAGTGTTTTTGGACATTCTGCACAGATTACAGGTCTGCAACCCTTTTACAGCTTTACTTCTGTAATACAGTGTGTATAATTTCATTCGTGTATTTTCTATACCAGAGCTCTGATATTGCTTATTTGCAATCATATTTATTAGCCAAAACATGCACATGTGTTGAGACATGCTGATGCTCCTTGACAACTCAAAATAAAAACCTTTGTGTTTGTCACACACAAACACAAACTGTATGTAAATAAATAAATAAATAAATAAATAAATATGTTTATTCAGGAAAGGTACATACATACAAGTAATGTTACATTAATGGATCGATATATAGATAGAGCTAGTACATACAATGCCTAAAGCCACTATTACGCAATGCGTTTCGGGCAGAAACATGTGTGACAGTCTGATAATATTAATAGTGGCTCCCAGTTTAATTCTTAGCAAGGAGATTGCATCCTCACTTTCAGACATTTACTTTTCAGACATTTACTTTCAGACATCTTTCTGTCTTGCTTCAGACTTCATAACTAGCATTAGGGGAAACAATTCCTACTGTTACCTTCACATTGGGTTTCCTTAGAACATAACAATTTAGGAAAGAACAGAAGGCCTATTGGTGTATACAGGGCAGCTCCTGCCTGTATCCACCGAAACTCATTCATATGCAAGTCTAACCTATGCCTGAAATAATCAAGTGATCCCACATTTATGATGTTACTCAGTAATCTGTTCCACAATTCCACAGCCGTGTTTCCAAACCAGTATTTACCCAGGTCATTTCTTAAGTTTAAACTTTACCAATCTTTATCCACTGTTTTGTGTTCTATTATGTGTTGATATATTTAACACCTTATTAATCCTCTCCCTGTTATGCCCACTTATCCACGCGTACACCTCAGTCATGTCTCCGATATACTGTGCGCATACTCTTCAGTTATGTCTCCACTATATGCATACACTTCAGTCATGTCTCCACTATATGTGTACACCTCAGTCATGTCTCCGATATACTGTACGCATACTCTTCAGTCATGTCTCCACTATATGCGTACACTTCACTCATGTCACCACTATATGTGTAGACCTCAGTCATGTCTCCGATATACTGTACGCATACTCTTCAGTCATGTCTTCACTATATGCATACACCTCAGTCATGTCTCCACTATATGCATACACCTCAGTCATGTCTCCACTATATGCGTACACCTCAGTCATGTCTCCACTATATGCGTACACCTCAGTCATGTCTCCACTATATGTGTACACCTCAGTCATGTCTCCACTATATGCGTACACCTCAGTCATGTCTCCACTATATGCGTACACCTCAGTCATGTCTCCACTATATGCATACACCTCAGTCATGTCTCCACTATATGCGTACACCTCAGTCATGTCTCCACTATATGTGTACACCTCAGTCATGTCTCCACTATATGTGTACACCTCAGTCATGTCTCCACTATATACGTACACTTCAGTCATGTCTCCACTATATGCGTACACCTCGGTCATGTCTCCACTATATGCGTACACTTCAGTCATGTCTCCACTATATACGTACACCTCAGTCATGTCTCCACTATATGCGTACACCTCAGTCATGTCTCCACTATATACATACACTTCAGTCATGTCTTCACTATATACATACACTTCAGTCATGACTTCACTATATGCGTACACTTCAGTCATGTCTTCACTATATACATACACTTCAGTCATGTCTTCACTATATACATACACTTCAGTCATGACTTCACTATATGCGTACACTTCAGTCATGTCTTCACTATATACATACACTTCAGTCATGTCTTCACTATCTCTTCACTTTTCTTGAGAATGTAAATAAATCTTTCTCAGTCTGTCTTCATTTGGAAGGTTTCTAATTACTGGGATTAATTTTGTCAACATTTGCTGAATGTGTTCAAATGAACTTATGTTCCTTCTGTAGTACTGTATGGCAAACCTAACACGCACAAGATACTGTGTAGATGAAGAGTAACATTAATTATTTAGTTGCTAACTCTTCTAGAAATAAATCCCATAAATTTACCTTCTTCTAAACATGCTCTGATTTCTGTGGCGAGCCCCTTTAGTTTCCCAGAGCTATACCAGACTGAAGTGTATATATTAGACTTGGGCAACAGTCAATCGATGGTGTTCTAAAAGGTTGGTTGCCCGATCGAATACCACAGGGCTGCCCCGTTTTGGTTATAAGGACCCGGACTAGGGGGCGTTGGTCGCTTCGACTTTGGTTCCTTCCACGCCCCTTTGTCCTCCTTCCACGCCCCTTTGTCCTCCTTCCACGCCCCTTTGTCCTCCTTCCATGCCCCTTTGTCCTCCTTCCACGCCCCTTTGTCCTCCTTCCACGCCCCTTTGTCCTCCTTCCACGCCCCTTTGTCCTCCTTCCACGCCCCTTTGTCCTCCTTCCACGCCCCTTTGTCCTCCTTCCACGCCCCTTTGTTGGTGTGGTTCACAGTTCTCCCTTTCTGCTTCTGGCTCCAAAACCCTTAAACGTCTGAGGATTTCAGGGTCGGGCAGGGTTTAGCTGGGGATCTCGGACAGCTTTGGGTCGCAGTTTGCAGCCAGTTGTCTTGTCTTTGATTTGATCCATGCGGTGCAACCGCCTCATGAGTAAGTCCCTATTTTTACTTATCTTTAGTTACGTAACTCCATGGAGCTGAAGAGGCATCCCCACAGAAAACCAGCGTTGAATGTAATGAAACTCCACTTACTGGGTGAGCCCCGGAGGCTCCCCGGCACTCTCTCTCCCTCTGGTTGGGGGTTTCGTGTTTGATGCTCAGCCTCCGAACTGAGGTGTGAGTAGCTGACACGTAGGTCCAGGGCTACTCTCTCCGAGGAGTCCTGGACCAACACAGCCTTCCTCTCTTCCGGGGAGAGGAAGGCTGCGTGGAAAAACAGCGCGGCAGTGGTGAGTGACAATTGCTTGTTTCCTTTGTTTTCCTTTGGGGAGTTCTGTTTCTCTCTTCAGTCTTGGGTTTTTGCAGTTTCTTACCATTTGGGGTTTGTTTTGAGAGGCCTACCTTTCTGGTTGCCTAATCCTGGTCAATGTCAGACTTGAAATATCCCCAAATACAAGGGGGTTTCCTCATGCCATTGCTCCCTGTACCTCTCTGAGGGAGCCTGGTTCCGGCTCTGGTCCCCGGTAGGCAGGACTCCATTGACTGAAGCCCCAGACTAATATAGTGTATATCAGTCCTAGACCTCCAGGGAGCCAAAGGGGCTCACCCAGAAAATGGCATTTCATTACATTCAATGCTGGTTATTTCACAGTACAGTGCATGTATTTTTTTTAATTCCTGGTCCTGGAATTCATCCTATTTCCCCATGAGGTAAATGACAAATTTCTATGCAGATGGGTAAGACACGATGACCAAACCACACACACAATAAGAAAAGAAACGACAACATATGTGACCAACAACGATCACATATAACTTGATAATGGTCCAGGATGGACTGAAACCTCGTCATTTCTTCATCTTCTGGTGTGTGTTTGGTCATCATATCTTCAGCCACATTATTGTGACTCATCATCTGCATATGGATAAGACATGTTGTGTCTGGGAACACACGTCTCTACAAATACAAGTACTGTATGTACTACACTTGTGAGTCCTCAAGTCAAATTTACCAGTAGTTACCTACCCACTTCAATTAAGATTATATTATTTTCAATATTCCATAAATCTACTTGGAGAATTGTGTGATTTCATCTCATATGGTTTATTTTCAGATCTTCATTGGATATCAAGTGAACTACTGGTAAGCACTTCCATAGACCAGCGGTTAATAATGTGGAAACTTACTTGTGGCCAGAAAAATGAAAGTCACATGGAAAATATCAGTGAAACAGAAAAAATTAATCAGACATATTCATGTAAAACCAGGATATTAAACTCCATAGATGAAACTAAAACTTGGAGTGACTGTAAACAATGGTCTTCAGCATCACTGAAAGCCGTGTGTGTACACTTTACCGGAGTACCAGATGTAAAGGGCCATACTTTGGTCGATGTAAATGACACTCGCAGACAAGATAAAGCTAAAATAATTAAGAGAATTTTTGTGTATGGAATGGGATTACAAATATATGAATTATGCATTGGGGATGATGATGTTCCCTGATAGCCTGACTCAGGTAGTAGAAGAAATCCCAAAACCCTCTCCAGGTATGGTCCAGGCACGTCTACTTCACTTTTCATTTTCAGTTGTCAATGTTACTGCAGCCAGCACCATCTATACAAAACAAATGTACACATTTGTCTTATCAGTTTTAGTCAAGGATATTTTAAAATTTTGTTTTATAATTCAGTAACTTAAATGTGGGTGTGGAAGAGACAGTAAACCCAAAGTAGGGTAGTTGTATGACGTGTAAGTGGACTGACGATTGTTTGACAAGCTATTATTATTATTATGGTAGCCTGTTGAGACTTTATCAACATACCAATATCTTTGAGCAAGCCGTCTTGAGGCAAGCTTGTCAGAGCAGCGGCGGCCCTCCTCCAAGACGTATTCATCAATTATAACACTGTACTCTGTAATAAAAATTGGTTTGTTCTTGTATATAAATTTATATTGCATTTTACTGTATAATAATATTTAGTTAAGTGTCTAGGTTCTGTTGGCAATTACTTGTGTTTGTAGTATGTGGTTGAAGCATTTAGATGCGATTCGAGCAGAGGATGTCATCGAAACACAGCTTGAGAAAACTACATACGTCATCAGTTGTGTGTAAACTGTTTTTCATTCGTAAACGGGGGTTTGATGGCTGGATTAACGAGCATTTGACCCTTGTTAATGAGGACAGGCTGCTTTGAGTGGGCATTCCTGAAGTAAACGGAATCACACTTGTCTTGTTTACTTCAGTCTTCAGATGGAGTTTTTTCTGTGAGAAACCCTTACAGCTCTCTGGAGCTATCAGACTGATAGGTGATATATTAGTCTCGGGCATTAGTCAATGGAGTTCAGCTTACCAGGGACCATGAGCCAGAACCTGGCCCCCCTCAGAGAGGCACAGGGAGCAATGGCCTTTGGAAAATGCCCTCTGTGGTTGGAGGTATTCTTTGTTTGCCATCGACCGGGGTAAGGCACCCAGAAAGGTAGGCATAACAAAACAAACCCTACTTGATAAGAAAATTGCAACCGAAAACCGAACAGGGAGGCAGAACTTCCCCAACTCTAAAGGAAACTAGCCATACACCACCAACACAACGCTTGCCTGTGCAGCCCTCCCCTCCCAGGGAAGGGAAGCCTCAGACCGCCGTGCCGGCTACTCACACCCCAGTTCGTTGGCTGATGCGATCTGGGACAGTTGTCAACTCTGGCCTCGATTTCTTGGCAGTGTTTTGCCTTCGTGGTGTTGTGGTAGTGGTGGTGGTCAGGTGTAACATCAGTGTTACACCTGACTCATGGGGCAAAAATCTTTCTGAAGCAACCATACGAGTCATAAATACTCATACACTGCTTAAGTAAACAGAAGCAAGTAACATTTAGTGAGCCAGCCAGAGGCTTAGGACCCACCCAGGAATATCCCAGCAGCAAAAAAAAAAACGCTTGGGTTTAACCAGCTTTGCAACATTTTGCCTGTGCTTCCTGTAGCAATCAGCTTATGGGCCCTGGAAAACCCCATCATGGCTCGGTGGACTGATGGATGCATCTTTCGAGTTCTAGCTTGCCTTGTTTGAGTTTGACGGTTGTTCTGTGCCCTTGTGATAGGTAACAGTCATCAGTTTTACCTCAGTCATGCTGACTGTTGGGTCAATAACACCTTTGACTCGGAGTCTAGCGAGATGTGTTCTCTGTTCGTGCTCCATTTTACCCATTCTATAGACATTGAGGTTCGGGTGCAGGTGGCATCTACATTGGATGCTCAGTTTAGGTTGCTCCATCACGCTAGGTTAGTTGCCTGCTCGGATGCCCCAAGGCTGCCCCGTTTTGGTGATAGGAGATAGGAATCCTCGTCTGCTGCATTCTCGGGGTTTGGCTCTGTGTGTGGTTCATATTCTGGGGAGTGTCCAACGTCCTAGCGGATGGCCTGTCTCAGTTCATTCCCCTGTTCACGGAATGGACAGTCGATGCCAACTTCTTTAGTTGGCTCTGCTGGATGTACAAGCTCTCGGAGGACTTCTTCACGTTGGCTTGGTCTCGGCATCTCTCAATATATGTGGCGCCCTTTTTTGACTGCAGAGCCATCACTGTAGACGCCTTTTAGCAGGACTGGTCCAGTGGGGTTAACTGTACCTCTTCACCCCCCTCCCCCTCTCCCCTGGTACAGCTGTTGCTTAGGGTTCTGGCTCGGTTGGAGTCTTACGGCAGAAGAGTCATCCTTCCGTCATCCGGAAGAGAAAACCAAGGCTCAGCCTTGGTTTCAGGCACTGCCTGCGCAGTGTCCAAACCCAGTGCATTTTCTGCGGCTCTGCCTCTTTCAGCAGATCAGACCATCCGGTACATGGCTGGTTCAGTCTATTCCTCTGCTCTTCGCAGAGGAAGAACCTCGATTTTGGAGGTTGAACAGAGTCCTGGGCGTTCGTTATTTGGTCAACATTCCTGGTTCTGCTCGGTAATGTGTGCCTTTGGGTCGCAAGTTGCAGCCAGTTGTCTCGACTTCGAGTTGTGGAGTGCATGGCAGCCGCCTGTGGGGTAAGTCCCTCTTTTACTTATATTGGGTTATGTAGTGCCAGAGAGCCGAAGGGGCTTCCTACAGAATACCAGTGTTGAATGTAATGAAATGCTGTTTTTCTGAGTGAGCCCTGGAGGCTCCCTGGCACCCTCCCTCCCTCTGGTCGGCGGTTTCGTTTTGATTTTGATGCTGCCTCCAAACTGGGGTGTAAGTAGCTGGCACCAGGATCTGGGGCTTCTCCTCCCCCTCCTTTCCCCTCTGGGGAGAGGAGGGTTGCATAAACAAGCAGCACAGCAGCGGTGAATGACGTTTGCTTGTTTCCTTGAGAGTTGGGGAAGTTCTGCCTCCCTGTTTGGTCTTTGGTTATTCCTACCTTTCTGGATGCCTAACCCCAGTCGATGGTAAACAAGGAATACCTCCAACCACAAGTTGGGTTTCCCAGAGGCCATCCACTCTGTGGTGTCGCCTTGTCATGGTGAGGGGCTCACGTACACCTCCCTGGGACCAGTGAGGGTTGCATGTGCCTCCTCTCCTGCCTCCTCTGGTGTACATGCAGAAGGGCACCATGTAGGGGCCTTGCGAGTCTGGACCACCCGCTGGAGGGGTCGCCCGTGAGGGGCTGTCCTAAGTGGATGGTTGAGTGTCCAGGCTGGGGCGAAAGGGAGAATGGGGTCTTTGCACCAGTGTGGGAGAATGGACGAGGCAGTAGGATTCCCTATTAAAAAGAGGGGAACACCACTGGTGACGACGCATCCCTTCCTGCACTGACCTGCGCTCGGCCTCCCTGGCAGGTGGTATTTCTTGGTTCCAGACCCTAGACTTTTAGAATTGATGTGTGCATGGACACTGAACTGACCTCTCTTACCCAGGCTCGTGGGATGGGCGACCAGGCCCAGAGTCGGAGGTGATGGAAGACTGGGCTCTATAGCCCCGGCCGCATTGGGCCCAGATCAAGCTACTCTTTTTTAACCCTCCCGACTACCCCCCTCCCTCCTCTGTGGTAAAGTTGGGCCCCAAGCCCCAAGTTGTGACCACATTGTACCTTGGGGCGGTTCCTTCTCTCATTGTGACTTTTGCTCCTTTTACCCCCACCCCCTCTCTCACTGGGGGTTCTCGTGCATCACATGGAACATTTTGTTCATTTTGACGTACGTTGTATGTCAAAATGAATGAAGTACAACAAAAATTGAGGTGAGAAAACTGAAGAGAGTATACACATTTCAGTGTGGCCACTCGCTCCATTGAAACACTCAGCGCACCATGGGGTAGGCTGGGGCGCGCATACTGTACCAAGAATGCGAAAGTGTTAAGTAGATTCCGAATCATGTTAAGAAGTAAGGCTTTAAGAAATGGATTTGCTATCATGTAGACAAGTATCCATACTGAGTTTGGAATGTTATCATTTTGGTGTTTAGCAAGGATTGGCAGTTTTCTCCTCCCATATAATATTAGCATAGACCATAATTAAATGGTAATTATGTACTGTATTATTTAGACAGATGATATTTGTAAAGTATTTTTATACAGTAGGTTAATATTCAGTTAACCTATAATATGTTAATACTGTATTATTACAGATTAATAATAAAAATATTCAGACAAGTCACAGCTTTGTTGTGTTATTAAATCTTAGTATTTACCGTCACTAAATGTGGCAACCAGATTAAGCCTTTACATAGGTGGCTACAGTTGACAACTTCCTACATTTAATTATTGGGAATGGGTCCTCGTAGTATAGTTGGATTCGATCTCGACTCGCAATCGAGAATTCCGAGTTCGAATCTCCAGCGGGACAGAAATGGTTGGGCCCGTTTCCTATCACCTAATGGGTCTGTCCACCTAGCAGTACATAGGTACCCAGGAGTTTGTCAGCTTCTTGTTGGAGTTGCATCCTGGGGGTCAGTAATTCAGCCCTGGGGAAGACCTCGATATACGCCTAACATGTACTGTGTGTATAAACTGGCTGCCTGTACTCTGACACAATGAATTATTATTATTATATTGATAGAAACACTTTCTTTTGATAGAAACACATGACATTAATTTGGAACCATTTATTTAATGTTTTAATCAAATAATATGCTAAATACACTCAACTTCCAGACACCTCGGGCCCAGTTGAGATTGGATATGTAGTTGTGTCTGGATAAGTAGACAATGTAATGTCGTTAAGATAATGTAATGTACGATTATGTTACGTTGTTGGGTAGATTAGATACACAGTGTTTAGTGGGCTTTTATATTTATTTAGTAGTCTTGGTTACACCAGTCGGTTGTTGGCTGTGTCGTAGATGTTGAGACGAAACTTGAAGCAGAGCAGAGAGCCGAGTGAGGCCGGAGTCGCAGAGCTCTATGCAGGAGAGCCTGGCGGCTCAATGGGGAATGGTGAGTGTCTAAACTCGCAGTCGTAGTCTGCTGTCTGCTCTGTGTCGAAGCTGGAGCATCTTGGGGTCGATTAGAACTGCATACACTAAGTGCTACATACTTGAGGTTGAAAAGGTATGGTAACTCCAAAGCGTCTGTACTGAAGTTAACTGAATCACTGTGGAAATTATACTGTTGATTAATCATTTCTTGACTGCTTACATTATTAGACTACACCTCACCATCCTCCAATACGTTGGAAGGATGGAAGGAATGTTACCTGTAATTAGGGAAAAGATTATAACTGTAATTAGTGCTAATGAGTTTTGTCATTAAGCTAATGAGAGATTGGAGCAAGTATATTGTTTACTCGCTACAGTTCTTATAATAGATCATTACAAAATGTTTTCTCTTGACTTCACTGCTTGTTGAAGCCCTAAACAACACATTAACTGTATTTCCTGATGCACTAGTAGCAGGAGGCAAAAAATATGCAGAGATGTAAAACAGTGAATGAGAGGGAGGGTTTTGTCAGGTTAAAAAAAAAAAAAAAAAAAAAAAAAAAAAAAAAAAAAACAGCGGAACCACTAGCAACTCAGTGGCTGGCCGCGGAACTACATAAGCTTCTCCCAAGTGGAGGTGCTGCCTGGGGCCGGATCGCAAACGAATATATGGAATAAATGAATGATTGAGGTCTGATGGCAAGGTCGGGGAGTGTATAACTTGTGTGGTTCTCATTGTCAGTGAGAGCATGCTTATTTGGCTTATACCAGTTGCCCTGACCAACCTTCCCTGAGGCTGTTAGTCACCCACCCAGTTACTGGCCGTGCAGGTATGTTATTGAAAAATACGATTGTATTGGTTTCATTCTCATGGTTTCTTATCAATGGTAAAATCTATAATGTTGTGGGGGGGGGGGGGGACAAGAGAGGTATTAAAAATTTATCATTCAATTAAATTTTGTTGACTAAATGCAAATAAGTCCTCCAACCGGTCCCAGTTTCAGCATCACACCCTAAATTGAAAATAAAAATAGAAAATTTTATACAAAATGGCACCATTTTCAATAATCTAATGCTGTACAAATCTTAACCTAATTTTATATCTATTGCACTGAGCTATTATAATAGTACTGTATATAATTTTGAATCTTCCAATGGAGAGATTTGGATGGGTCACGTCAGATCCAAGAATTCTGTTTCGTCTATTGGATACTAAAGTTGAAACTTGGTTTCTCTCTCAGAGGCACAGAGCAAAAGTGAAAATTGCCACCACATTGGTAAAATATCCAAAAAGTCAGCGAAGCCTTATAGACAATTGGAGGGATAAAAGACCAAGGCCTTGAAAAAAAAACTCCAGGTGATTCACACAAAACAAGAGAAACATTCAAAATTAGCACAAAACCCATAATATCAAATGCCACCACCAGGTGTCCCAGCATCCACATGCAGCCATCTATCTTCCTAGTCGGTTCTAGAGATGATGAACAGATTAACCTGGTAAGGGGAGAGGGAGTCGGGAGCCACTGGGGCTCGCCTAGAAAAAGGCATTACATTACATTCAATGCTGGTTTCTGGAGGAAGCCCTTCCCCACCTCTAGGTGGCTCCCTGAAGCTAATCGCAGAGAACAAAAATGGGACTAACCAAGGAAGAGGAGAGGCAGCATGCATAAGGACAAAGAAGAGAATGCTTAGCCTTCTTTAAGCACCCTGGCAAACACTTTGTCCGGCCCTGGGGATTTGTTTAATAACATCCTCCCTGGTAACTGATAAACTAGTCAACCTGTCCTCTTACCCACCAACAGAGACTTGTTTGGCTGAAGGCATAAGGCAAAGTTCCTCTTTAGTAAATACAGAGATAAAATATTTATTTAAAATACTACTCATTTCTTCATCATTATCAGTTATCTGATAAGTATCAGTTTTTAATGGACCTATATTTTCCCTAATCTTTGTTTGATATGCTCCTTTACAATATAACCTTGTGGAAATGGAATCATATTCAGGATTAAGTGACAGGAATGTGATAACAGCAGCTCCGTGGCTAGTCATTGCGGTATTGTACACATACCAGTATACTGGAGGCATTTACATGCATCAGGTGATTGCTGATGTCTACTTGTATAGTGTGGCTTCATTCTGTTTTGATTTTATCACCACACCCACCAGTACTGCTTATTGGTTCATTAAGGTGCATAAAAATGTTGATAGATATACTGTATATGACTTGTGTATATACTATAGTGAAAACAGTAAAAAATACTTTTATTGTTCATAGAATATAATATATACAGTGGTACCTTGGAACATGAGTGTCCCTGTATGCGAGTTTTTCGGAATATGAGCCGGATTTCCTCGGAAAATGTGTCTCAGAAGGCGAGGGTTACCTCGAAACGCGAGTTTGTTGATACGCATTCAGGCCGACCTAGCTCGTGGTGGTACGACGATCGTCGCCCCTCCGCCCCTCAGTTTACCACTGTCTCCCGCCCAGTGACTATCCCTCCTGAATTCTTCAAGGATTTACAGTTTTATGTTGGTTTTTTGGCCATTTGAGCATAAAAGTTGTTGTTATATATCTCGCCATGGGTCTCAAGAAAGCCATTGATAAGGTTCAACCTAAGAAAATAGCTGTGAGTAGAGGCAGTAGACGATGTACCTTCTTGATTAAGAAAATGTGTAAAGTATGGGAAGAACTGCAAAGTTCTGTTGAAAAAACTAACCCAGATAAAGCTGTAGCAGGCCGTTGCATTGACCTTTTAAACAACAATGTGATGTCTTACTACAGACAAGTGTTAAAATGTAGGGAAAAACAAGTGTCTTTAGACAGATTCTTAGTAAGGCAAGCAAGCCGTGAGCCACAAGCAGGTCCTAGTGGTATGCAGGCAAAATGTGCCAGAGGGTGCACACCAGTGAAGTCCTCACTGCCTGATGTGATAATGGAAGGGGACTCCCCTTCCAAACAGTAACTCCTCTCCTCACCATCTTCCATACGCCTACAGTATTCAACAGCAAGGTAAGTAATAGCTTGAACATAGTTTTGTAGGTTTATTTAGATGAATTAGGTATAAAAATTTAGTTTGATGTGGGGTTTTTGGGGTAGTCAGGAACGGATTAATTCATTTCCCATTATTTCTTATGGGAAAATTAGCTTCAGAATGCGAGTTTTTGGAATACGAGCCGTCTCCAGGAACGGATTAAACTCTTAAACTGAGGTACCCCTGTATGTCACTATTATATATGTGCACCATATTTTTAAGCATAGTGATGTTCCACATACTATTAACTATATAAATTCCTCAAGTTATACACAAATGAATAATAGTACTCAAAAAAACTAGATAAATATCTCTGAATGGTTTATATAAAAATATCTTTACGACAAGTACCAACCCACGGAGCCATCGTGCTAAGCTGACCTCAGATCATGATTACGAGATTGTAAACTCTTGCAACACCAATTTAGTAGTTCATTATGTGCACAAAAATGTAGATATTGCACTATATACACGTTATATATAACTAACGGCAAAAATCACGGTTTTATTGTTCAAACAATATGCAGAACTGTAATAGACATGTCACTATATATGTATATTGAATTTTGTAACTAGTTCATCAAGATTGTAACTTGTTTAGCTAAATAAATTGTGGGGTTCAGTCCCTGAGCCCATTATGTGCCTCTGTAACCCTTTCCACTACCGCCCACAAGATGGGTATGGGGGGCATAATAAATGAACTAAATTACCAACTATATATGAGCACCATATTTTTGAGCATAGCAATGTTTCACACATTTAACTATTAGCAAAATACATTGCCTTAAGCTAAAATGATGATATGCTAAAAAAAAAGTGCTTCCTCCCCCAATTATTTGCACTGACAGCTCCCTACACCAGTCCTATAGTGCAGTTGTTGTGACAGCAGGAGATGGTTCCAATTCTTGAGTGTGGAGCTCGTATAAATAACTGGACCTCCCCCTCTTCAAAAATAATTGCCACAATCCTTGCATTCACACGAGTATACGAGTCCAAAGTTGACACGTCAATGGTAAGGCGACTCCTTGTCATACTTGACTGCACTCGGCTCCCTAAGTCATAACCGACATACTGGCATCTGAAGCCAAGCACAAATATAATGAAATAATCAATGATGGAATCAGTTTGTCTCCTACGGATTCCTTCCCATATTGGTCTCTGATTTCCTGACTCCACCAGGAAGCAGTTAGAATGCAGCCAAAGGGAGTTCCATTTTCCTTGGGGCATGCCACACTGCCGCAAACACACGCACAATACATTACTGTATAAGCTCGCTTACCCAAAGCCCGCTTTTCTGAATCTTTGGGTTATCCAGCTGTTTTTCAGAAATGCTGATGAAAATTTAGAAAGACTAGATGTGGTTGAATGGCTAGAGAGAGATGCCAACGACCCAGGATGTGGTGCGATGAGCGAAGAAGAGATTCTCCAGTCTGTTACTGGTGAGGCGTATGAAGAGAAGGAAGAATATGGAAATGAAGAACTAACACCAGACAATGAAATACAGTTTACTCATGTCTTCTGCCGACATGCTAATTAATTTTTCGTCCAACTGTGTTAATCCGGAAGTTGGAAACATGTATAGTACCTGAGGTGAACCAAAGAACTGATCATAAATGAGGCAGAAGAACACAGGAGTCAAGCTTAACTCGATTCTTATTTGGTAAGAACAGCAAGCCAAAGGCCTTTATACCAGTGAAGCCTCACACCAGCCAAAGGCCTTCAACCAGTGAAGCCTCACACCAGCCAAAGGCCTTCAACCAGTGAAGCCTCACACCAGCCAAAGGCCTTCAACCAGTGAAGCCTCACACCAGCCAAAGGCCTTCAACCAGTGAAGCCTCACACCAGCCAAAGGCCTTCAACCAGTGAAGCCTCACACCAGCCAAAGGCCTTCAACCAGTGAAGCCTCACACCAGCCAAAGGCCTTCAACCCGTGAAGCCTCACACCAGCCAAAGGCCTTCAACCAGTGAAGCCTCACACCAGCCAAAGGCCTTCAACCAGTGAAGCCTCACACCAGCCAAAGGCCTTCAACCAGTGAAGCCTCACACCAGCCAAAGGCCTTCAACCCGTGAAGCCTCACACCAGCCAAAGGCCTTCAACCCGTGAAGCCTCACACCAGCCAAAGGCCTTCAACCCGTGAAGCCTCACACCAGCCAAAGGCCTTCAACCCGTGAAGCCTCACACCAGCCAAAGGCCTTCAACCCGTGAAGCCTCACAGCAAGTCTTCATAATACAATCAGTACTATGGGTTTTGTACTAATTTTTAATTTCTCTCTAGTTCTGTGTGAAACATTTGCAGAGTTGTTTAGTATTTTCAAGACTTTGGTCTTTGTTATCCCTCCAGTTGTCTGTAAAGCTCTGCTGACTACCTGGATGCTTTCCTGGTGTGGTGGCAAACTATACCTTTGTAACAGAGGGGAGGCAAGATAGGTATAAATAGAACATATGAAATTAATGAATGGAAGGAGTAGGGGAGCAGTTAGGAAGGGAGAAGTCAGAGGACAGAGGAAATAGGGAGGGAGAAGTTAAGAGAGAAAAGAGGAAGGAGGGAGGGAGAAGTTGAGAGGAAAGAGGAAGGAGGGAGGGAGAAGTTAAGAGAGGAAAGAGGAAGAGGAAAGATATTTAGTGAAAAAGTAAAGTTAAGAAAGAATTTAGGGACAAAATGAAAGGATTAGTAGGAGAGAAAGAGAAGAGGGTAGAGCTGCCACCATTTAAAATATATTTTTAGACGAGAAATGGAACTCGTCTCTTAAACCAGTTAACACATTGATGATAACTTCCAATAACATTCAAACATTAATAAAAAATAATACCTCTAACTTCTTAGGATATTATTCACAGACACTTAAAACTTGGAAAATAACATTTACTTGCGCACTATCATTTCAAATACTACTTTACATGCCAACTTAGTGATTAAATTCAACAAAGGAGTCAAGTCCAAAAGTGGAGAACCCAATACGGCTGACTGCCCCTGGAGGTTCACAAAACACAGTAGCTCACCTCACAGACACTCACCAGGTTCAATATCCCAATAACTTTCGTGGGTAACAACAACTCGTATGGTTTGAAGACAGCTCGCACTATCTTGCCCGGAGACTCGGTTCACTCTGTGTTTACACAATCTTCTCTCCGGCTTTGAGGTCTCGCACTGGCCTACCTCCTTACTCTGTGTCCTTGCTCCATTTCCTGACCTCTTTTCTCATTGTTTTAGATTCAGCTATTCGGAACAAAATGTTCCAAGTAACACAGGCTATGGTGAGCCCGTAGTGGCCTTATCTGGCACAGGAGCAGGGCTGTATGTTTCTGGTCTTTTCTCATTGATTAAGATTAAGCCACCCAAAAGATGGCACGGGCACAAATAGCCCGTAAGTGGTGGCTCTTTTGAGCCATTACCAGTATCAAGAGCTGATACTGGAGATCTGTGGAGGTGCGACTGCACCCTGCGTGACGGGAGATGTCTCCCGTGTCTTTTCTCAACTTGTTCCTGTCTTTTATACCCCTGGATCCCCTATTCCGTTGGATTACCAGAGGAAGCTGGTAACTTCTCGGAAAGGGATCAACTTGCCAACCTTTGATAAATATCTAAGGTTGACATGTAATCTTACCTTACCTCCCTGGGGTAGTCTCATGGATTAGGCACCCTACAAGTCTCCACTCAGGCCACCTTCACAACTGTTACATCCCTCTTTCCCCGGATTTAAGGCAAAATCATGTGTACATTAGTAAAGCATGATTTTGTCTTATCCCAGAATAGTATTCCAGGTGAGAAAAAAATTACCTTAAAAAATAACATCTAACAGAGCTAAGAACAATTGCACATAGTACAGTATAATCATCCTATTCTAAATAGAAGACACGAAGTCTGGGTTCTCTAGCTGGGGAGGTGTCACTGCTTGGTCTTTTAGATAATCTTGCGATGTGTTTCTTCAATACAACTGCATCGTATCGCTGCACCTTCAGAAAACGTCCAACAATGCCACAGCCAACTTAGGAAGCTGTATTTCTTGCACTACTCACGTGAGTTTAGAATCTGTTGTCCCTGCTGATCTTGAATTGACCTTACGTCCGTCTTCTTGAGGGACGTATGCTGGGGTTCTTCACAGCCCTAGGGGACTACAAGTTACGAAACCTCCATATGGTTGGCACCGTAGAACAGGTCATATTTTTGAACTGTTGCTCCAGCATGGCTCCTTCGGAGAATGACTTCTGCCCACTACATGAAATCCACACGACGCAGGATGAATCACTCAATAGTCTCAATCAATCTCATCAATATAATCTCAATAGTCTCAATATCACTCAATCATGCCTGCATGAGTGGCAGCCAGTTAAGGCAAAGGATCCTGTGTCGCAATTCGCTCAATGCAATTCGGCTGTCATCATCAAGAGACACTAGATGATGTGTCTAGCATGGGCCTTCTCTTCCCTATTCTGTTTGTCTGTGTCTGTCTGTGTCTGTCCTGTGGGGTCATCTTTGGTCGTTGACAGGACGACCTGGGGTCCACCGGAGTTACTACGTCAGTGGGCCATCGTCCTCTGAAGTCCAAGTTTTGATTTAATGGGTGCCTGTTCGTCTTGATTCAGACCTGGGGATGAATGTAACAAAACTGTATCAGTGTTCCAAAAGTGTTTTGCGATAAATTAAATACATTACAGAGTTCCACTGATCTGACATAAGGATCTCTTCCTGTCAATGGCTCAAAGCTCCAAAACAAATGCCAGAAATGGCCTAAGGATGGCAACAATGTAATAGGACTGACATAGTGGAACACAGGCAGAAGTAGATTAAGAAATTTGGGAAGAGAAAAAAATGGGTGACTATTTTCAGATCATTCATTAAAGAAAATTTCAACCTTTAAATCACAAGATAAAATATTTTATATTAGTAACACTCATAATGTAAAGTAAATTAATGTACACGTAACTAAATAGGCTACTCTTACTGCCTCAAATCTAGTTGTCTGTCCATTCCAAATGCCACGATTACCGCTAGGAACTCTACTAAATTTTGTAACTACTCTGACAATTGAGATTACCGCCAGACCAGAGGCGTCCCCACCCTTATCTTTGTTTCGACAAACTGAATTTCACCTCCCAGTCTGCTGTACAAATTACTTTGTACACCTCCGACTAAGATGAGAGAGAGTAACTGGCTCCATCGGCCCAGTCAAAGCCTGCCTCCACAAGACAATTGTCAAGCATATTCCCACTTAAAATTTCATCCTAACAGCCTAACAATGCCCAAACCCATTCAAACAAGCATGAAGTTCACTGATAGATAAATAACACTGTCAATAACTATCATTTGCAAAGAAAATTATAAATCTTAACCGCTAATGAATATTCTTCATATTAGCATGTATGACTATATGACTTTCCTAAAAGGTAATATCTCTATTTCACTAATCTTAATACTACACCTTATTAATAATCTCTTGACACTAAGTCACATCTATCCTACGAGCGCCGTCGGGGTCTCTCCCAAGACATCGCGGGTCACCTGCATTGACTCAACCTAACCTCCACAAGCTAAGCACCAAGATAAACAGCTAAATTGTCAAATATATTCCCCACTATCTGCATTGTAAACCTCACTCTGCACTGAAGTTCTTGCCAACATTTCTGGAACACTACAGATCTCCCAAAATGTGAGAACATTATACCATAATGTCCCTCATAAGAATCATTATACTATCAAACATGAAAACTCTCCAAATCACGAGTATTAAACCTGTCAAACTCCCTGCTAGTTGACCAGACCACACACGAAGTGGAAGGGACGACGACGTTTTGGTCCGTCCTGGACCATTCTCAAGTCGATTGTGAGAATGGTCGAACGTCGTCGTCCCTTCAACTTCTAGTGTGTGGTCTGGTCAACATACTTCAGCCACGTTATTGCGACTCATCCCTGCTAGTTCTTTCGGGGTCGCTCAGCGCCGCCACTCCGTGGGACGACAGTTGCCGCGAATATAATGTTTTTCATTTGTTTCATAAATAAATAAATGTTTATTTAGGTAAGGTACATACATAAAGAGATTTTACAAAGTTTGTTGGATTAATAGATAGGGCTAGTACATACAATGCCTAAAGCCACTATTACGCAAAGCGTTTCGGGCAGGAAAAACATTAATGACTAAAGCTTAATACTAATGGGTATAAAGAATAAAATGTGTTGAGAACAAATAAAAATAGAGGTAAAAGAGGGGGGACATGGCTGAAAAAGCAGCACAAATACAATTACAAATTATTACAGACAATTACATTCAAACAGCGTTGTTTTGGAAAAAAAAATAAAAAATACATGGGTTGACAACAGAGGGGAAAGGTAGGTTACAGGGAATTTATTAGGTAGTACTTCGTTTTTATCTTAAACTGGTTGAGAGAGGTACAGTCTTTAACATGGTTGGGAAGGTCATTCCACATTCTGGGCCCCTTGATTTGTAGAGTATTTCTAGTTTGATTAAGTCGTACTCTAGGAATATCAAAACTATTTATTTCTGGTGTGGTGCTCATGGGTTCTGTTACAACCTTCAATGAATCTTTTGAGGTCAGGATTGGCATTACAGTTCAGCGTTTTATATATATATAATACACAAGAGAGAATGTGCAGTGACTTAATATCTAACATATTCAGAGATTTTAGTAGGGGTACCGAGTGCTGTCTGGGGCTAGAGTTGGATATTGTCCTAATAGCAGCTTTGTGTTGAGTAATTAGAGGACGTAAATGATTTTGGGTAGTAGAACCCCAAGCACAAATACCATAGTTGAGATATGGATAGATGAGGGAGTAATAGAGAGTCATCAGGGTAGGGCGAGGTACATAATATCTGATCTTAGAAAGAATGCCAACAGTTTTTGAAACTTTTTTTTATATATTTAGGATGTGTCCCTGGAAATTCAGCTTATGGTCGATGAGAACGCCAAGGAATTTGCCATCTAATTTGTTACAAATTTGGGTATTGTTACATTCAAAAGAAGGAAGGAAGGTCATCTGTTTTTTGCTGTAATATTATTCAAAAGTGTAATTTCTGGAATTTATGTACTGTAGTTAAATGTGTGGAACATTGCTGTGCTAAAAATTATGAGGCTCATATGTGTTATGATTCTACGATCAATTAAAGAGTGTTTTTGCTGTTATTACACTATATACACAAACACGTTCTATATACCTATCTTCATGCGTGTTCACCATAATAAACCACTAAGTTAGTATAGTAAGTCCCAACAACAAGAGTGACTGCAACACAGCAGCTACCAGACGCCATCTCCCTCACTCCTTTAAAACCTCTCACCAACATTTCTCCTCCCACCATCCTGTTAATGCTTTTATTACACTATTTACATACATTATATACAAGTATCTACATGTTATGTTCACCATAACTGTACAACTAAGCTGGTATAGTGTCCAAACAACATAGTGGCCACATAAAACTGCATGACAAGTGACACAGCAGCTAGCAGACGACAGCCTTACTCACTCCCTTACCAACACCACCTTCACTAAAATGGCTCTTCCCAATACACTTATTTTGCTGTTATTACACTATATACATGCATGTTATATATAAGTACTGTAATCTGCATTTGTGTTCACCATACTGAACCACTATGCTGGTATGGTGAGTCCAAACAAAGAGTGACTGCCATACACTATGCAGCCAGCTAACCCTACCTCCCTCCCTCTTCAAGATTCCTCCTCCCACCATACTACGCACATCGCTAATTATCACCTCAATCCTGCTATTATCAGAACAAAACAATCACCCACAGCGCATGCGCAAGACGCAGGAGGTCCGGGCTGCACCACGACTCCCAGGGAGGGTGCCAACAAGGAATATGGAACTAGGAACAGAAGAATCGAAGACCCACTCGAACCTTCGAGATCCAAGACCAACAAGCACAAAACCATAGAGGGACAGATGCACCCAAAAGCATCAGAGACCCATGGTCATGCAGGACCCTAGACAACAGAAAACGAATGTGGCATGATGCAGAACACAGGCCCTAGAGGAGAAAGGTGGTTAAGTGGAGAAAAAGCCCCACAGAACTGCACCCGGGGAGGGGCCAATGCCCAAAGTCAACTCGTACGCAGAGGGGGGAAAGGAAAACCTTACTCCTTGTGACAGTAAGCCCCACTCGGAAGGTCGGAAAACCCAGGTGGGGTTCAACAGGGCCCAAGGCCCCCAAGTCAGCCCCTCCCCAACCCCGGGAACCACCACGTCAGGCCCCGGGGACGTCGAGCCGTCCTCCAAAGCCCCGGCCTCAAGAAAAAGCCTGGGTGGCCGAAAAAGCAGGAAGAGAGCGGGTCCACTGGTCAGATCTCCTAGCTATGGCTGGAGGAACAGACTCGAATGCCTCCGATGCAACCCCAGACGGGGCAACCCCCAAAACTGCCCGAGTCTCAAACCTCGCCCCGACTCCAAAGCCCCAGACGCCTAGGAGCCGGAAGCAGGGGAAAAACGAGGGAGCACGGACCGGACCAAGGCCGACGCGACGAAAACCCCCAAGCCCGGGTCCTGAAAAGCAAAACGGGGCATCCTCGGGGCATCCAAGGGAAGCAACCAAACCAGTGCGCTGCAACAACCTACCCAGCAATGCTCGAGCGCTTACACCCAAGGAATGTCATGAACAGACCGGGTGAATGGAGCCACAAACAAGCAACAATTAAGCTTGCAGGACTCAGGGCCGAATGTGTCACCGACCCAACAGGCAGCATGATGGAAGCAAAAACAAGGAGAGTCGCCCTGAGACAAGGAGACAGAGCAACCCTCAAACTCGCACAAAGGGAGGGAGGGGGGGGGGACACAAGGATCTCGTCCAATGGACCCAAGTGTCCCTGCGGGGTTTTCCAGGGTCCTTATGTAATGGGGGGGGGGGGAAATAGCTCTCTTTAGTCCATTATTCCGCCCCCCCCCCCCCAGTCAACTAACGAGGCCGGGGAAAACGGCTCTTTAGTCCGTTATCCCGCCCCCAGTTAACTATTCTAGAGCTCCCCCAAGAGTTCCAACGGCAACCTCTCTAGTTCAACACCTTGTAACCTAGGTATTTGACTACCTAGGTGCTACAACTACAAGGCGCCGTAACTTGATCAGCTACCCGAAACTCCAGAGAAACTCTAGAAACATTTCACTGCCACAAACGTATAAGAGAACCGAAAGGGAAGAAATGGATAATGAAGTAATTAGCGAGGGTTTGGGGTGAGGGAGGTGGAGAGGTGGGAGGAGGGAGGTGGAGAGGTGGGAGGAGCGAGGGTCGTCGTTAGTTGTAAGGGAGAGTTTGGAGAGGGGCGGAGGGAGAGGAGAGAGAGTACAGAAATGAGTGGAGGTAGAAGGGTAGATAGGTAGAAGTAGAAAGGTAGATAGTAAAAGTAGTAGTGCTGCCACCATCCACTCTGGTCAGTACATACATGATAAGGAATGGAACTTGTGTATCAAAAGATGTTATGAGCACGTGTCAACTGGAATCATGTTCCAGGCAAGCTCCTTTAATCCCATAGTCTCAAGAGTACTTTACACTAGTTTACATATTGTATCCAAAAATCCCAAATCTAGGAACAATTAAAATCAGATTAAAAGTAAATGAA